TATTGTAAACCCCAGTTGTCAACTTCAAACCAAGACATGGTTTTCCCCAGGGACTAGAGTCAACATGACCTCCCTAAGATGCATTCCAACGCTTCGCAGTCAAGTGCACTCACAAACAAAATACGTCGAGTGCCCACAACAAAGATACAACGGCTGGAGGGCACAGGGGAGGCGGGAGGGCAGACAACGTGCAAGCACACCAGCAGGCAAAGTCCCAAAAGGATGCCAAGACCAGGCGGACAAGAAAAACATCAGAGCAAAGCAAGCAAAAGGACATCAAGGCATAGGCTGGAGGGCACGGGGAAGGCGGGAGGGAAGACAACATGCAAGAACACGAAACAGGCACACAAGCACATGAAGGCAGGCAAACCGAAAAAAATACAAGTCCCAAGTAAATCGGAGGACCGGAAAAAATAAACTGATGATGACAAGATTGTTTCGTCGGAGTTGCACCGACTCATCAGGAGGCTGAACCCTCGACAATCTGCGGAGTCTCCATATTTGATGGTTTGGGTCATGAACCCTTTGACCCTTGGTGAAGGCAGACTGTCCCCAAGCAGAACATAGCAGCAGGCAGCAACCCTGTGGAGCACCAGGCAACACAGTAGAGGCAACACGGCTGCACAACGCCAAAAACGACTGCAAGGAACGACATGGCACGCAGGACATGCAGTGCAACAACCATGCAGTGAAGCACAAGGCAACACAAGCAGGGCAACCACACTGTAAGGGACGACAGGGCGAGTGGACCAGCAACTCGGCAACCGTGGAGCGGAGCACAGGGCATCAGCAACAAGGCAACCAAGCTATAGGGCACACAAGCAGCAAAGACGGAAGGCACGACCAGCGGATGAGCAGCACAGCACCGAAGCAGCAAAGTGCAAGGCAACACCAACAACACGGCCACAGCACGCAGCGAACACAGCAATTCGCAGAGAGCCACACGCGAAGCAAGCGGGACAGGCAGCAGAGCAGCGGCGGAGCGCAGACGAGGACGTCCACACATCCAACACGGAGCAAAGCAGCACATGACCTACTCGCATCACGATTGAACCCCGCAGACTGTTGGGTCCCACCACCCACTGAGGCAGGGAGTCACTCCGACAAACATCCGTCATCACCTATAGGCAACACAGACATCCCGAACCGAGCGGCCCCCATAAGAGTGCAGTAGGCACTCCAAACGAGGAACCACCGACTGTTTGGCACTACTTAAGGGTGCTCAGTTGGGTAAGCAAAAATATGTAGAAAAAGATCAGAGGGAGGACAGACAACAAGTGGAAAACATACAAACATAAAACTGATTGTGTGTGTGTGTGTGTGTGTGTGTGTGTGTGTGTGTCTTGTAAATGGTGACTAGAAAAGACTATCGCATCCTTCAGAAGTATGGATGGGCAAATTGGGTTATCAAAAAAGTGTGCAACATTCCTCACATCTGTGTGGGTGTTGCTGTGTTGGTGGTGAGTGGAGAGGGGACCATGTGGTTGCCAAGCATACCTGGTGTGTTTCTGTTCAGCTCTTGGCATAGTCCAAGTGCTCAGTTGATTCTACTCAACTCGAGAATGGTTTCACTTTTTGTTTTTCACCTGGTTGTATGGCCATTCTCTGCTTGAAGTCTCCGCATGTAAATGGGAACATAGATTCACAGATTCAAGGTAGAAATGGAAATGAAAGTTTCAGAGGTCGTAGTCAACGCAATTCAGCTCCCTACTGGTTTCCTATCCATATGTCATCTGGCACCATGGCAATTCATCTTTCAAGCTGCACTCTCCATTTTGCTGTTCCCTCTCACGGAGCTGTTTCTTTTTGTCCTTCCCCGCAAAGCAGGGGCCAAAAAGGGGACAGGGGGGTTGTGATGGCTATTGGGGTGGCCTGATGAGGATAGCCCTAACCGACCTGTAAGTTAACAGATCGTGGAAGCTCCGGGATTACCATTCAGCCACCAAACAGGTGGAGTAGAAGAGGATGAGCCTCCATTTGGGGGGGGGAGGGGGTGTTACATGCTGAAAGCCTACACACGGGCAACACACGGGACCCGAGGTTGGAATAGGGCCCCCAGGTCGCGTCACCGCAACCTGAAGGCCCTATGGCATTCTTACTTGGGCCTGCATCAGAAAAACGCCAGCTTTAGATTATTTTTATATTCTTTTATTTATTTATTTGCTGCTGTTTTTCTAACGGTTGTACTGTTGTCCGTTTTGTGGCCAGGTACACGTTTTAGGACCAGGGCCAGATTCAGGCCCAGAGGCTGAGCTCCTAAAAACGTTTGGACCTTTTCTTTTGTTTTCGAACAGATTGCTACCTGTTCGGACCCAGRCCGACGTTGAGGCCGGATACGTCCGCACAGGACCGGTTTGAAGCCAGGTACCAGGAAACTGAATCCTGGACGGCCTGGACGTCCGGTAGGGACCCAGGCAGGCCGTTTTAGGCCAAGGGCTGAACCAGTTTCAAAGCCTGCGATCTGGACCGTGGATCGGATTTCGATCTGCACGGCCCAGAACGCAGGCCGTGGGTTTTCAGTCCTGGCCCAGCGCTACATAAGCTGTGCCGTTGCCCAGTTCGTGGACAGAAGGTACCAGGAGAAATCCAGCGTTATGCTGGTTCAGGAACTTGGCTGCTGCGCTATTTTGGAGACTCCCTGCTGCGCTATTTCGAGACTGCAGCTGCGCTGCTCATCGGCCATGAGGCACAGCGCTGGAGGAGTCCAGCGCTGAGGAGGGTAGTGGAGTTAGAGAGAGAGAGAGAGAGAGAGAGAGAGAGAGAA